TCTTTCCCTGTTTCTCTCTCTCTTTTTCTTTCCAGTGTTTGTATGTGCCCTCTAGCAATAACTTTTTTAAAATGATTGATAAAAAGGTATAACTATACATTAACATGAAAGCAATACATAACATCAGTTAGTTAACCAAAGTAGCTGAACAGTGTTTTCATAAATTCAATGACTTCTTTGATAATGCAAGCAATAATGTTTTATAGAAAGAAAATAAAGCAGTGCTTAATTACAAACAAACAAAAAAAGAAAAAGAAAAGGGAAAAAAAGCACACCCCTTTCTAAGAATTACTCATTGGGAACATTTTCTATGCTGTGTAATAAAAAAATCTATTATATAGTCAACTCAAAGACTGAGAATTAAAAAGAAAGAATGTCTGCGTTCCTATAGTCTAAGATCATTGCTATAAAATGCACACAGAGGTCAAGCATACATTAGGTGAGCTGCACAGGCATCCTAGGCAACCAGAAAGCAACGGTACCTTGGCCACTAAAGAAAGTCTAAGTTACTGAACTTGCATGATGTTCTGAAACGAGTTCCTGTCATGGAATGTCATGTACTTCATTATATAACCTCAGCTCTTTGGGAGCATGTTATGACTATGGCCAAAGTAAAGGAAAACAGGAGTGTCTCTAAATCAATCATGAGCCATGAAGCCAGACAGACTGTATGACAGATGCAATTTTTCTTGGCACCACTTGGGCATAACTAATTGATGACAATCGTATGTCCACGCTGGCATGTTTCCACAGGAGATGTGTGCAAATATGTCACTACATCTGGATGCTAGGCATGCTGGGGTCCTGAGGCAGAAAGACCTACGAAAACCAGAGGCCCCGCAGCTGTACTCAATGAACACCGTGGGAGCTCCACAGAGTGATGAAAGGCCTAAATTACCACAAACTGTAAATACAGATTTATTTCATTAAAATACGAGGTAACTGCTACAGTCATCTCTTGTTCAAACAGACATTTGCCTCTTTAAAAAACAAAAAAAGCTAGAATCTATATATATATACATATTTCTAAATCCATACAGAAAATTTGCATTTCAATGACTGCTCTTAAATTTTAAAAAATTCCATGCAGAAGCTAGAAAAGAAAAAAATAAGATAATCTACTGTCATCATGTTAGAATAATCCTCTTCCATTTGATTCAAATGTGACATTTATATAAATTACTACCAAGCTCATGTTGAAAATTCAACACATTATGGTAGAAAAAAATCGTAACATATTAACATATAATTTCACCTTTAAAATTAAAGACAGATTAATATAAATAGCTAACTTTTCCTAACTTAAAAAGAGAAACCAGACTGAACAATAATTTTATCCTGGGACCAGCAGGTGGTATGGTGGTTAAGGTGGTAGACTCCCACACCCACGATTCAAGTCACGAACCTGGCAGCTTGCTTTCTCACTTTCCCTCTCTCTCTCTGCCTCAAATTAATAATAATAATAATAATAATTAATAAAAATGAATAATTTTTAAAATTTTTAAATTCTTATCCTACATAATTAGTTAGTAGATTCATTCTTTAAACAGACAAAATGATATAAAACAAAGAAAAGCTCTCTCATAAAAAGCCTTCTATTTTTTTCATAAAATTATCCAATAATAAATCATTTATATGGACTAGATGGTGGTAAAATGGTACCAATACTGACCCAACATGAGAAGTCCTGGAATCACATCCCCAGGCCTCCCTCTAAGCATGTGCATGGGATCCAGGATGGCTGAGGCTGAGGGTGGAGTGCAGTATGAGGACCTTTTTAGGAATGCCTGTTTCTCTCTTTCTCTTCTCCCTCCCTCAACAACTACATATTTTTTAAATTGATAATTAAGATATTTTTAATTGATAATTAATAAACTCTTCATCCATGTGTAAATATTAGGTCATTGAGAAAGTCAAGATGTAAAAGTGTCAGGACTTTCCCGACAACCTAATGCATAAATCTCAAGCCAAACAAATGCTTTTCCCATGCGATGTGGCAGAAATCATCTTATATAGCAGTTTATACTATATCCTCATAGATAAAATTCTAGTTTTAATCAGAACATAAAAGAAAAGGTCATTTGTCTTATCACTTTCCTGTTCAGATCGTTTTTCTCCACCTCTCTTATCTGTTTCCTTTCACATCCTGTCTTCCTTCAGGCTGTCCAACAGCTTCTGATGCTTTTCAACGCCTCATCCAACCATCCAACATTGGACTGATTTTTTTAAAAAATTCTTTTATTTAACTTTATTTATTTATTTTAATTTGACCAGAGAGGGACAGAGAGGGAGAAAGTGAGAAAGCAAGCCACCAGGTCTGGGACTTGAACCGTGGTCGGCCATGTGGGAGTCCAATGCCCTTAACAATCACACCACTTGCCAGCCCCAATGTCTGTTTATCTGAGGCTTATCAATGGGTAACAAGAGGTATGTCAAATTACTCACTCCCTTCCCTAGGGATAACTAAAACATAAAAGTCACCTTTCTCTCTCTATTTGATTATGATTGCTACTCATCTTCTAAACACTTATGTGGCGATAAAAGGCATTATTAATACATTAGACTTTTTCACATGTGGATTAAATAAAGAAAACACTTCTTTTAGGAAATCATAAAAGGTTCTTTCCACTTGAAGATCTGCAAATGGTCCCAGTGGCAAGAGTACAACTAAAAGGGAAACACAGGTTGAACCTACATGGAAATAAACATAAGTAACTAAAAGGGTCTAGACTTCTTATGAAAACTCAAAAATACAAAGCTACTGACTTTTCTCATCTTTTATCTTAATTACACCTAAGATTATCACTAAACATGGAAATTTTCCATGATACAGAGATGTTGGTTCTACCGTAAAATGTTATTTTGACTGAAGATATATGAAAAAGACCAACTTCAGAGTATAAGAGGAAGAGTGAGGAGGACAAAAGGGAGAAAGAGAACAAAGAGTAAGCAGCTGACATAACTAATGACACAAAGACACTATGGGGTCCCCAACCCCCAGGCCACAAACCCTTGAAGGTTTACAACCTGTACACACACACACACACACTGTGCAGAGCAGGAGGCAGACAGAGAGCAAGCAAGCAAGGCTTCGGCTATTCACAGCCCATTGCCACCTAGGCTGCGTCTCTTTTCAGCTCAGCAGTTGTATTGGATTCTCATGGGAGCACGAATCCTATTGCTGTGTGATTGTATAATATATACTGCAGTGTGGTAGGGTGGAAATGGGGTGAATGGTGGATGTGTGCACTTGGGTCATCCTGGGACCATCACCCCACCATTTGTGGACTGTAGTCCATGAGGCCAGTCCTTGGTGCTGGAAAGGTTAAGGACTGCTGCTACAGGTAACTCCCCGATTTCATCATCTAGTCTCTTTCACACCTCTAATAGCTAGAGCATTCAAGCCAAAGATCAAGATTCTGCATCCAGCTGGCACAGATACTCTAACTCTAAGCACACTGTTAGGTTTATTTTATCATCTCCCCCAAGACAAAAGTGTATGGTTGACATCTAAAAGTAATTTTTATTAACTGACATGAACATCCTGGTGAAGAGGAGAAGTATATTTAATGAGTAACATTATCTCTCCAACCAATAGCGCTATGTCTGTGCAACTGCTAGTGAGCCAGAGTCTCAAAAATAGGCGATGCACAGTACTGCAAGAATCAGCCAAGTTCGATGGCCAATGACCCACCTTTATATTCCTCAAACCCTTTATCAAGGGATACCTAGAAATTTGAGACTTCCTGGTTTTACCCTTCTACTCTCCTCCCAAGAGCAGAGTCTAATGCTCACGTGGCAAGAGGCAAGAAAATTGCTGTTCTAATCCCTATTTCAAAGAGTATGTGTCTTTAGAAAAAGACCATTTCGGTGGTTTTTTTCACTCTGAAAATATGAGAACTAAATCAGCAAAACAATACCAGTCCACAGGTTTTTGTTTTTGTTTTTACTAAATCTTCAAAAGACTGCTCTTTTGAGGCATTTCGTTTCTTTAGTGTCCCAAGAAGATAAAACTTTATGTAGTTCAAATGTTTTGCTTGACCTCCTTCCTCAAATCAAACCACAGAGAAACAAGACTTCTGGTTTTCCCATTAATAAGTATCCTAGAATTTGGAACAATAAAATTTCCTTTTCTAAAAGGAAGCTATCTTAGAGTTGATGCTATCAGGCAGAGACAGTAAACACTAGGGAAGATGGTAGACTAAAATAGTGTTATAGGGTTGTCAGGAAAGTCATAACTCTTTAGCATGTCATGACTTTCCTGACAATCTAATATTTTACAACTCCATTTCTTTACCTAGGATTGGACACCACTTTAAGAAATAGTCTTCTTAAAAGTTATCTATTTCATTTTCGTCACACGCACGGCAAGTCTCTCACTGCAAACACTTACCTGACCTTTTTCCCTTGTTCAGTGAGCATCTTTACCAAGTCGGCAATGGGGTACTGAGCTTTGGCTGCACAGAGACCATAGCCTGAAAGAACATCAATACAGAAGAATGCATATTATATTTTGAAATTTTATGAACTACAATTTCTCTCTTAATCAAAACAAACTTGGGAACCAGCAGTTAGCGTAATGGCTATGTCGCTGGACTCCCACGTAGTCGACCGCGGTTCGTGTCCCGGACCCGGTGGCTTAAAACTCACGCCGGGCGCGTGTGCGTGCGTGCCCAAGATCCCGAGAGGAGAATGGAGGAGAAGGGATTGCGGCGTGACCATCCCCCCTGGGGGGTGATTTCTCGCTTTCTGTCTCTTTGTCTCTCTCTGTCTGTCTGGCGAGCGCACGCGCCCTACAGTGAAAATCTCTCAAAAAAAAAAACAAAAAACTTGTATGCCAACATTGGTAATCAGTTAAGAGGACAAGGAAATGAAAGCAAATTTGTAACTTTAAAAAATATTGGCCTGAATTAGAAATTCAAAAATATCCTTCCTCTCAAGATTCCATAGTGGGAAGCTATGGAAGTGGGTACTGGTTAGCCCCTCCCACATACCACACACTCACACTTGCATGTACTTTCTATTATTAGTATTATTGCTGTTGCTCTCGATACCTCACTCTCTCTCTCATGTTTTTAAACCATCTTCATATTTCGCTTTGATGACACTGCAGTCCTGTAGGTCCCCTTCTAACTTTGTTACTATTCTTCCTCAAATTCCTTCAGTAGTTTTTCTCCTATGTTCTCCTCCCTAAATGACAAAGTCTGCCCAGGTGAAAACTGTGCCCCTCACAATTCTTCTCGAACATCTCAGCTCTTCCCATAACTTCCACAACCATCTGCTGACCCCACCTCCATACATCTGAAGGTTTGAACTTTAATTGGAGCACCAGTATAGAATGCTCACTGTCCCATCTCCATCTCGAACTTTATGTCTCCAAAGAAGGACCAAAAATTCTCCATAATTCTGATGTTATTACAGGTATAACCAGGAACTTCAGTCATCTTCTTTCAGCTTTAACCCCAGTATTCCATTCATTCTACCCACACAAGGAACCCTCCATCTGTCCTCACTTCTCTTTTCTTTCTTTTCAACTGCCAGAGGGTAAGTGTGTTTGCCAGAGAAAGAGAGAGAGATACAGAAAGGGAATTCCTATAGGGAATGGTCACACTACAGCCCCTCTCCTTCATTTCTCCATGCTGTCGAGATTTGCCATATGCCTGGCATGTTTTCTAAGCCACCAGGACCAGGACTCAAACCATGGTGAACCACTGTTCCCTCTACACTAAGCTATGGGGCCAGCCCTGTTCCTGCTTTTCTACTCCATTTTTCCAAATATCAGGTTTCTGCTCAAGCTACTCCTTCTGTCCTCCACTATTCCCAATACCATCTATCCTCTAAGACTCAAAACAAACCAATACTTCCCTCCAATACTTCTTAGGTTCTTTGTGAAAGAAAAGTTTATATAGTTCAATTGAGCTGTTACCATAATGCACTTTACATTATTTATCTACAATCTGACCTCACTAGAGGGAAAATGCCCAGAGGAAAAGAGCCTGTGCTCTATATTTACACATTTCCACTCCAGTGTAATGTTCTCAACAGATTAACACCAATGCCGCTTTAGCCAGGACAACACATCATGCAAGAAAGTCTTATGCATTACAGTATATTTAGTTTATCTGCTTCCATTCACCAACTGACAGTAGCAGGCCCTTCTTTGTGATAGCCCAAAACCCAAGTTTATGTTTCAAATGGCCCTAACATGTGCTACTGTCCCATATTAAGAAAGCTTGTATCTTAGAATTCACTTACTAATGTTTATTTTTATCCTCAATATTCAATTGCACTGATGTTTGTTACTTTTATCTTAGCATTTAACTGACCAGTAAACTAGCCATATGTCAAATCAGATTTTCTTTACAGAAAACTCCCATGATAGTATGAGAATCAAAATCCTCATCTGAAACAGTGTATTATGGCTCATAATACCACAGCGTTCTGTGATAAGAGTGAAGAAGAACTAACCTAACGATCAGAAAACTGGGAAATTCAGGCCTGAAGAGATAAAATGACTTGGACCATGTCACGTTGATGGTTAGCGACAAAATTAAGAACGAAAATAAGAAGTTGTAACTCCCACACCAAACTCTTTCTCCTAGACCAGGTTGCCTCATCTTATTTTAAACCATAAGATTCTTGAGGGTTTTTACATATTTATTTTTAAAAAGAGATCAAAATTGCCAAGTGAGTCTAATGAGTGAGCTAGACACTTTCATATGCCATACATAATTCAATCTTAAAAACAGTTATTCTAGAGGGAAAAAATCAAGACTCAAAAATAATTTAAGCATGTGCATGGTCTCATACAAAGAGCTGCCTAGAACCCACAACATCCATTTATAGAATCTCTATGTGATCCCCAATTAGCATAAGCCAATATTTTCCACTTAGTAGTCATAGTGCTACTATGTTTTTATTGTGCTTTGAAAAATAAAAAAGTTTTCATTATATTTTTTCCTGTTTTAAGGAGTTGTTTTAATGTAATCAACTATAGCAGCTATTACAGGTTGCTTTTTTTTGTATTTTTGCTTTGTGTGTGTGTGTGTGTGTGTGTGTGTACCTGGAGTAATAATAATGCTATTAGCTTCTCGGATCATGTCAATTGCATTGTCAAGGTTGATTTCTGTATGTGTGCCAGAAATTTCCATGGGTTTTCCACCAGCTGTTGAAGTGGTACCATAGCCTCCAAGAATCACATTAGCCAGGGACCGATTCATTGCCTAGAAAACAAAATTATCAGCTGTGAGAGATTAATACACACAACTAGTACAAATGTTATACATGTAATTTTCAGAACAATTAAAGAAGATTTATTTCATCATTTAAACACTTTAAACAGATAAATCTGAGTCCCCTTGCAAAAATTATTTCAAAAATTTCAGTGACAGATGACATCTGAGTACCACATCTTTTTTCCTATAAATTTAATCGATATATTTTCAGTCAAAAACATTATAAAGTGTTAAAACCCCTTTAGAATTTGGCTAGCAGGTTTTCCAATTTTTACTAGAAATCTACCCCCACACACAAAAAGAAAGTAAATAAAAACAAATTTTAATTGGAAAATTAACAGTAAAAGTATGAAATTAATGAAAACTTGGGATACACTTGGTTTTCACTGGATGCTGATTGAGCAGTTTCTGCCCCCATATTTACATGTATTTCACCAGACCAAAAGAGAATCAAAGACAATGACGAGAATAAGAAATTATACAAAGCGATCCCCACAGATTTTTCAGGTAAAATTCTGCTACCACATATCAGCAGTCAAGAGAAAACCAGGACATATCAAAATGATAAAGATCCATTTCAACTAGCACTCTGCTGCCCTCTGCTGTCAAGAAAAAAAGTAATATGGGATTGATACTGTCTCATTTTCCAAATTGATTAGAACTCCATGAAGCTAAGTCATAATAGAAGAAAACAGATTCATCATTAGGACCCTGAACTATTTCATTTCCAAAGAGGTATATGAATAAGGTTATATACTCTTTACAATTTACACCCATTCTTTTAACTAGAAAAATAACCTCAGAAGAAAAATAAGAAAAAGGTAGTTCCCATCACATGGTCATTTACAGTCATCCGAGAATGTACCACACAAATGCGACAACTGAAATGAGTGACAACATCTGCTCTGGTTTTGAAAACAGTTCATTTGTAGATTTCTGGAGATAGGGTGGTAAAAGAAAATATGCTTAATGTTTTGAGTAATCAAAAGCATTTAAGAATTCAAATCACTGTACATGGCTGAAGCAGAAAAAAAAATCCAAAAAGTTAGTAAAACCTATTTTAAGGATTGTAATAAATGTATCTTTGATCCAATGTGCCACTTAAAATACTATAAAGTGTCAAGCTAATACTCTAAAAAATTGCTTTATTACTGGGACCAGCAGTTAGCATAATGGCTATTTCACTAGACTCCCATGTAGTTGACTGCAGTTCGAGTCCCGGACCCGGTAGCTTAAAACTCACGCCAGGTGCCTGTGAGTGTGTACCCAAGATCCTGAGAAGAGAATGGAGGAGAAGGGATTGTGGCATGGCCATCCTCCCTGGGAGGGTGATTTCTCGCTTTCTGTCTCTCTGTCTCTCTCTGTCTTTCTGGTGAGTGCACGCGCCCTATAGCAAAAACCTCTCCAGAAAAAAAGCTTTATTATTGAAGAAGCAAAAAAGCAAAAAGCACCCAGAGACCTTCAATGATAAGCACCATATTAGGGAAAAAATATGACACCATCCCCAATATGGCACAGTCTGCTGCCAACTTTGTGTAGATGTTTATTTTATTGCAGAAGTGCAACGCAGGCAGAGGAGGGAGAAAAAGGAACACAGAAGATGAACAAGAAGCCACTCTTTAATAAAAGCGGCCTATCAATAACATAAGTTGCAAAGCTGATAAATCAAAAGGTTGTCAGAATTAAAAAAAAAAAAAAAAAACTTTTTTTCAACCTAAGCTCATATATCAGACATAACATTTACATTTTACAGAGACCAAAGTCTGATAAATTCATCTCAAATTATTACATATAAAATAAATCCTGGAGGGCCAACAGGTGACTTGGTATTAAGGTGCTGGATGCCACATGGCTAACGCTGTGATTCATGTCCTGGACCTAGAGGCTTGAAAAACACACTGGGAACATGTGCGTGCATGCCCAAAATCCCAAGAGGAGGAAGAAGGGATTGTAGCAAGGCCATCATCCCTGGGGGGGGGGGGGGATTTCTCACTTTCACTCTCTCTCTCTGTCTCTCTCCAGCAAGGGCACACACTCTATAACAAAACATCTTTAAAAAAAAAAAAAAAAAGTAAAAATAAATCCTGGATATGTTTTTGTATATATTTAACTGATAAGAAGGTCAAAATTAAGAGAGTAATAAAAAGCAATACTTCTAATTAAATTCATAAGCCCAATTTGACATAAAGTTTCAAATTAACACATTCTCATTATTTTAAATCCAAGGTTTAATGAAAACCAAAATAGCCATATCTGAGAATTCCCAAACATTCAACTTCCATTGACTTCGGTGAATCTTTTCTAGTTTTGAATTACAAGATTCTGAAACTCAGTTACCAAAAAGTATGTCCTACCTAACTTTTGACCTTAAAAATTAATTCAAAGGACTATTTTAGACACTGGATATTGCTACTATAGATAACTCCCTCCCCCACCTCCTCCCTCCCCCAAAAAATCAAATAGACAAAGAGACCCTATTACCTCTATCACATAGTCCTGCAAAAGGACAGATCACAGAGAGACGTGGAGTAGAAGAACAGATATATAAGGGTACAACCACTTTAGGCTATAATGACTTAAGCTAAGCCATTATTTTCTCCTATAAAACTATTGAATAGTAAGTAAAGCTGAATGAAGAAAAAGGAAAGAATTTCTGAGGACATTTAATTAATGTGTACCCACTTCTGATGGCATCTTGGGAGGAAAAAGGGAACCACACAGTAGTTTAACAATCAAAGACAACTTGTTAAACATGTATCCACAATTACAGCACCATTAAATTAATTCTATGTGGTCTCTTAAAAACTAAATTATTTTTCATCTCTAAATTTACCATTGCAACATCATATTTTCAACAAATGTTTAGTGTTTCTGACTTTTGGAAGTTTTGGTTTTTTTTTTTTTTTTGGTTTGGTTTGGTTCGGGTTTTCTTTCTTTTTTTCTTTTTCTTTTTTTTTCTTAAGTTTTACTGCTTGCTTAAGTGATTAATGAGACTCTCCTGTGACCACTGATCCACAGATTGAAGAGTTCCCAGCTTCCGAGACAAAGAATTTGCAACACTATCCAAGACTATTCCTTTTAAGTTATTAAGCTCTATAATGAAAATTGCATTTTATATTAAAGAGATCCTTAACTTACATAATTCCAAGCATACTGTGAGATATAAATGTGAAAACAAAGAAATATCATAAAATAGACAAATTCAAAGCAATAAAAGTCATGAATGTCGGAAAAGTCATGATGTATTTTTTCTATGTAAAAATGTGTCATGACTTTTCCAACAACCCAATACTAGCATGTCTCATGGCAATACTTCATAGGTACTAATTAACTCAAAGGGGAAAAATTATTTTTGATTTGGCTTTTGACAACACCCACTTCATTGTGTTCTATTTTCATTTAGAAACCAGCAGCAAGGCACAAAAGTAAGGAAACCTTGTCTGAAGACACTGTTCCACTGGGGCAAGACCCCTTTTTCCCAGGCAATGTGGACACTATCACCAGCAGATAAACTTACAATTATAAAGAAGTTAACCTGGATTTCAAGCGATATGTGGACAGACAGCACATCATTCCTCTGAGCTGGTTGTTTAGAGACAGTTTTCAGCTTTTACAATACTGAGAGTTATGTAACCATAACATTGGGCTCAGAGGACACCCAAAAGAATTCTTTGTCAGAACAAAAATTCAATTTTAGGGATTGCTGGATAGCCACTTGGGGTGCATTCCATTCCCTCTCGCATAATGAAATTATTCTGTTCTGGTCTGGGCACGCATGTTTCCTTCAATCAATAATAATGAAGGTCAACATACTGGTACCAAATTAACTCTAGTATATCTGCTACCATAACCTCTCTGGAAGAGACTCTGAAATATGAAATGAGCTAAAAAATTCATCTAATGTTAATTTAACAAACTTTATATTCACTTGAATGTGCCAGGTGGTAGGCCAGGCTCCATAAACACAAAGGTGAATAACAAATGGTTCCTCAAAGTTGCTTCTCAGTAAAATGAGAGTAATATTTCCTACCTCCAGAATTAATACAAGTATTAAATGAGCTAACATCCGTAAAACACCCAATGTAAAGCCTATATGACTATACTAATGTCCCAATTTTGAGTAGCTGTTTCATTTTTATTCTTATTCTGAACTACTTGGAGCTGCTAAGCACAGTCATGAAGAGATAATTACTTATGATACAAAGAAGCAAGAGCTACGAATCAAGCAAGGTTAATGTAAGGAAGTCAAAAACCAGGAGAATTTAAAACGAAACAAAATTTCTATCTTCAAAATCTAAAAATATAACAGGCTTGTTTTTGTTGGTTTTGTATTTGTTTTGCATTAACACTGAGGAGCAGAGAATATGTAGTAGAACAAATCCCACTGTGGCTCACTAATAAGAGCTTTGACCAGTGATCAATTGTGGAGATCAATTTACCAATATCAAAAGGCAACAAAAAGATAATACTCCCCTTTACCAAATAATTGCACTTTTAAAAATTGAACATAAGAGAGACCAGCAGTTAGCGTAATGGCTATGTCACTGGACTCCCATGCAGTCGACCGTGGTTCAAGTCCCGGACCCAGTGGCTTAAACTCACGCCAGGCATGTGTGCTTGCGTCCCCAAGATCCTGAGAGGAGAATGAAAGAGAAGGGATTGCGACATAGCCATCCCCCCTGAGGGGTGATTTCTCATTTTCTATCTCTCTGTCTCTCTGGCGAGCGCACATGCCCTATAGCAAAAAAAACTCTCAAAAAAAAAATTTAACCTAAAGAAATAAAAATGCAAAAGGAATAGTGTAACTGGGAAAAAAAAAAAGAGTAAGTCTAATAACATGGTTTTGACAGATTATGGTATATCTATGTGCCATAATAACAGATGCTAAAAATTGTTACAGTAGTTAGGAAGTTAAACAAAAATATTAAATCATTCATTAAATAGAATGTATTTAAACATATGCATATGAAAAGACTAAAATTTAAATATTAAGTGTTGACAATTGAGTGGTAATTGGAGTTTAGATTATTTTATTTTATTTATCCTTTTCTATTTCTTCCAAATATTTTACATTTGTAATTGAAATTGTTTCTAAAGTAAAACTTGAATCGTCCTTGAATCCAAATTAACACAAATCTGCTATTACAACTAGAGTATTAATTTAAGCCAATATATTTATAATCTCTGACAGCTCTAAGAATATCTTGTTAGCTGCATATAAAATACAGGAATAAAAAACATCTATAGTATGATGATAAATGGCATGCTCAAGGCAGTGGAAATAGAAAAGAAACAGAAGAATTATAGAAAACATATCAAAAGATAGGAAGAATAGGAAAAAATAAAAGATGATATCCCTTCAGAGATACTCCTAGAAGGCAATCCTTTCAACAAGTCTCTCTTATTGAAGAGTCTACCTTATTCTAATTACTGTTATGGAACTCTTACTATAAGTTGCTGTGGTTAATATAACATGTCACTGGACTCCCATGCAGTCGACCGTGGTTCAAGTCCCGGACCCAGTGGCTTAAACTCACGCCAGGCATGTGTGCTTGCGTCCCCAAGATCCTGAGAGGAGAATGAAAGAGAAGGGATTGCGACATAGCCATCCCCCCTGAGGGGTGATTTCTCATTTTCTATCTCTCTGTCTCTCTGGCGAGCGCACATGCCCTATAGCAAAAAAAACTCTCAAAAAAAAAATTTAACCTAAAGAAATAAAAATGCAAAAGGAATAGTGTAACTGGGAAAAAAAAAAAGAGTAAGTCTAATAACATGGTTTTGACAGATTATGGTATATCTATGTGCCATAATAACAGATGCTAAAAATTGTTACAGTAGTTAGGAAGTTAAACAAAAATATTAAATCATTCATTAAATAGAATGTATTTAAACATATGCATATGAAAAGACTAAAATTTAAATATTAAGTGTTGACAATTGAGTGGTAATTGGAGTTTAGATTATTTTATTTTATTTATCCTTTTCTATTTCTTCCAAATATTTTACATTTGTAATTGAAATTGTTTCTAAAGTAAAACTTGAATCGTCCTTGAATCCAAATTAACACAAATCTGCTATTACAACTAGAGTATTAATTTAAGCCAATATATTTATAATCTCTGACAGCTCTAAGAATATCTTGTTAGCTGCATATAAAATACAGGAATAAAAAACATCTATAGTATGATGATAAATGGCATGCTCAAGGCAGTGGAAATAGAAAAGAAACAGAAGAATTATAGAAAACATATCAAAAGATAGGAAGAATAGGAAAAAATAAAAGATGATATCCCTTCAGAGATACTCCTAGAAGGCAATCCTTTCAACAAGTCTCTCTTATTGAAGAGTCTACCTTATTCTAATTACTGTTATGGAACTCTTACTATAAGTTGCTGTGGTTAATATAACTAATAATAATAAATGAAGAAGAAAAAGAAGAGCAATAAAAGAGACACAGATAGATTTGGGAAATACCACTAATAAATGTAAGAATCTAAAGAAAACTGCTTTTAAAAAAAGGATAAAGACAATAAGGTACCATGAGGATATTTCAAGAGCTAGATACCAGTCTTCTTCCCTTTTGTGTTAGTCTGCCACTGACTTTGTGAAAATCCTCCTGTTTAATGTTAAAAATCGATTTTCTGAAACCCACAAGTAATATGACGATCTGCTGCCCCCTGCTGGTCATTTAATTCACCTACTAAAAACGAAGTCAGAATAAGGGTTAAAAGTCCATTTTAAGAGAAAATTATCTCTATTACAACTGGCTAAATTTTTTTCTTCCTCACAAACACTTGTATTTAAAAATCCCAACACCTGATTTTTTCAACCAGGACATACAAAACACCTTTCCAAATTCCCTGAGCAACTCAGGAGATTTAATTCAAAAACCTCTTAGCCTATTTGGAATTTAGGTTATCAAACCCTTTGCTTTCCAATATAGCAAAGAAAGAAAAATCTTTTTTATTATAAAAAGACAAAGAACCAGCAGGTGTCTAATGGTTACATCGCTGAACTTCTGTGCAGTTGACCATGGTTCGAGTCCCAGAGTCACCGGCTTAAAACTCATGCTGGTACATGTGCATACATGCCCAAAATCCCGAGGAGAGAATGGAGAAGGGATTGAAGCATAGCTATCCCTTCTGGGGATAGTGAATTCTTGCTTCCTGTCTCTATTTTTTAAAATAATAAAATAAATAAATAAAAAGATCATTTAGGGACCAGCAGATGGCATTGTAGTTAAGGTGCTGGATCCCACATGGCCAACTCTGTGGTTCAAGTTCCAGACTCAGCAACTTAAAAAGACACTCCAGACACATGGATGTGCGCTCAAAATCCTATGAGAAGAATGGTAAAGTGATTGTGGCATGGCCATACCCCCTGGGGAGCGGTGATTTCTCACTTTCCCTTTCTTTCTGTCTCTCTCTCTCTCTGAACAGCACAAAAAAATAAAAAATAAAATTAAAGCAACTCCAAACATTCCAAACTACAACAAGATTTCCAATTAAAACATCAGGAAAATACTGAATTGTAAAGTAAGAATTTTTTTTAACATATTACAATAAAAGAATGAAAGTGGCACAAATATCCCTTTTCTGTCTAAATTATTTAAAAGTGTAAAATAATATTCTGATTTCACTTAGTTTCATACACATACTTACACAGCACTTCAAAACAATTATATAGAGAACATCTACTACTTTTGAAACTTGTCTAGTCAAATCTTTAATTGCAGGCTATCTTGCCATCAAGAAAAGAATTAGAAATGAGAAGGAAGCTAGAACACATCTGTGTTGTTACGTTTTTAGGTTCTGTTTTTTAAAAACTCATGCTGACCATAAAACTTCTCATCGGGCACTCTCACAGATGACCAGTGGGAGTATAAATTTTAGAACAAGCTTTCCAGAAACATTGCAAGAAGTAGAAAAAGCCTATAAAAATGAGCACGCCCTTTCACTTCTAGCAATATCTCTGACCATGTAATCAGAAATGGTAAGATGTACTTATGTACAAAGAGAAATCAAAATCAAAGCACCTAAAATACACATTATTAGGGAAAACTTAAATTAATTTTATATATTGATAAGATGAATTATATAAAGTCTTTTAACATAATAGTCTAAAAGCATATTAATGGTGAAAATGTCTAAAATATAGTATGAAAGATTTTAAGACTTGAATGTACAACAATACACAAAATGATCAGGCAAGTAAATACACAGATAGGTATTACACAAAGAAAAAGGATGGGAGGAAATAACCCAAAACCGTATGTGTTTATCTCCTGATGGACAGAACATTATAAAATGTGTATCTTCATAGGTAACGTTCACAATTCTATACAGTTGGGTTCTTTAAGAGAAATCTTGGAAATGTATTTAAAAAAACACTGTATTTCTGCCAGAGAGGATTAAAAATTGACATTTTTACTGCAAATTTAAAAATGGCAAGCACATCCATGTTTTCGGAGCACCACTTCCTCTTCTCTCAGATACGTGTTTCTTACCACACACATGATGTATGACAGGATAGCACCGGAAGAGCCGATGAGCGCACCCACAATGGTGAGCAGGTTGTTGTTCAGCAAGAAGCCCTCAGCACACAGAGCCCAGCCAGAGTAGCTGTTCAGCACCGTGATGACGACAGGCATGTCAGCACCCCCAATAGCAGCCGTCAAAGTCACTCCCTAGGACAAAAACCAAAGCAGAACTCAAAATGGGTAACATACAAATAAAAACTCTTAATTTAACATCTTGGCTCTTAACGATTCTGGTTTTCCAACACATACAGTTACATAAAAGTTCTAACTCTGGGAATGGCTGAGTGTCTCCTATCCAACCAACTTCCCCATAGATGTAACAACTGTAAACTCTGAGCCATCCCCAATAAAAGTGAGGAAAAGCAGGCAAAAACTGGAGAAAGTTCTACTTGAAAAAACAAAAAACTAAGTAAATTTCCCAGTTTTTATGGCTTTAGACTGAAGGGAGGCCCACATCGACACTAATGGGAACAGCTAAAACTAAGCCCACAATCTCTCTGGTTGGAAGATCCCAAGGATAGTGTTTGGGGTGACTAAGGCAGCTGGAAAACCAGAAGGAGCCTACCAGGGAGCAGACTAGAAAGAAGGAGCTCTAAGCTCTGAGTATAAACTCAACTCGCATATCTGGCTGACTCTCAGGCTACAGGGAACAGACTACCAGAGAGCCTGTAAAGGACAAAACAACAATGGATTTCAGCTGCACCTCAGCCATAAGGGAGCCAGAATTTGACATCTGAGTCCAGCCAAGTTAGCTGCCTATAAAAACAAATAAATACAAAAAAAAAAAAAATTAATGTCCTTTGGAGGAACACGATCAAACCCAAAGTACCTATAACATGTCATGAACAATGCCTAAGATACAGTCCAAAAGAATTAAATACAGGAAAGGGAAACGGATGATGTGAAAGAAGATTTTTGTTTTTTATCCCATGTACTCTGACATTTTTCCTGTTTGTTACAATGTAAGTGTGTGCATGTATTTACTTAAGACAAAAGCAATTAAAATAAATTCAAAATGTACTTGTTCTTACTAGGATAGTCGCAAAGGACTCATGAGTACATTTTAAGTTTTATAGTCACTACTTCTTAAAAATAATTCTTAATGTTTTATATTTCTTTACTATAAGTTTGATTTTGAGACTTTTAATTTTTTTCTGCTTTATTAGATTAAAATTATCACAAGTATTTTTCATCTCCTGGGTCATGGGAAAAGTCAGGACACACTTTGGTATAGAAAAATACATCATGACTTTCCCGATGACACAATATATAAAATAAAACAAAAATCAGTACTATATAAGCCAGAATAAAGTTGAGTCATAATTATTCAAATAAAAAAAGAATTTTAAGTTACCTCTCAGGATTCTAAATTTCCATGTTGAGGCCCAGCCATGGTGGTACAGGTGGTAGGATACAGCTGGTTGATACTGGAGCCAAATAGAAAGGCCCAGGGTTTGGATCCTGGGCTGACCTAATGCTGGGTATTCATAATCCTAGCTGATTGGAAGACTGGGGAAAGAACAGCAGCATGCCAAGGCCATGTCAGGGGTGTCTATCTCGCTCTCTTTCTCTCCCTCTCATGAAAGAAATACATTTTCTGCAATGAAATCATAACCTAATTCTTATGATCACACAAAAATAAGTATCATTTTTTCACTGTAAATCTTATGCTTCTTAGTCAAGGAGCCAGGAGCAATGTGAAAAGAAATTATTATACTTCTATATCCAACTTTGTGATAGGTACTATAGATATTTTTTAAAAGAAGTATTTATTTAATTTTATTTATTTATTTATATTTAATTTGCCAGAGGCTCACGTGAGCTCACCAAAGAGAGACTGAAAGAGAGGAAATGCGGAAAGTAAGCCGCCAGGTCCAGGACTTGAACCACTGTCAGCCATGTGAGAGTCCAGCATTTTAATCACCATGCCATCTGCTGCCCCTATAATATTTTTAAACTTAAACTATAAGGCCTGCTCTGTGGCCTGGTGAATGGAGCAGCCAGATCCTACACAGCTGACTGTGTGGTTTGAATCCCAGACATGGTGGCTTGAGAAACATGCTGGGCACCTGTACATAGATGGCCAAAATCCAGAGGGAGAGATGGGGAAAAGGCATTGCAATGTAACCATTGTTCATGAGAGTTGCTTAAACACACCAGGCAGTGTGCATGCGTGCCCAAAATCCCAATAAAAAAATGGAAGAAAAGAGATTACAGCATGGCCATTCCCACTGGAGGATGATTTCTTATTTTCTGTCTCTCTGTCGCTTCCTCTCTCTCTCTCTCTCTCTCTCTCTCTCTCTCTCTCTCTCCAGTGAGTTCATACACCCTATACAAAAATCTCTCTTTAACAACAACAAAAAAAAATTCAAACTGTTACATATATAGACAAGTAAAACCTACTCTGGATGTAAATATTCTACATGCAAAAATTACAAAGAGGAAAACCAACCCTATTATGAAAGGCTTCACTGATCTTCCTTCCTGAGCACCCAGGGCTTATTAACTGCTTTCATTTTATATATTTAGTAGACCTGGTGTTATATATTCTAATGAATGTGAAATCAGCTAATGGGCAGAGACCATCTTTTTTAAATTATTTTATTTATTTTATTTTATTTGTTATCATTATTTTTTTTTTTATTTTAACCAGAAAGAGAAAGGGAAAGTAAGAAAGCAAGCCACCAGGTCCAGGACTTGAATCATGGTCGGCCACGTGGGAATCCACCACCTCAGCCACCACACCACCCACTGGCCTAGAGATCATCTTACATGTATTTATAAACCCCAGAGCACTATTTTGTAGGGCTTGTCACACACTAGGCGTCTGACGAATGAAACTGAAAACCTGGGCTTTTTAAAACTCTTCATCTACACCTTGATCCAGTGGAGAAACTATAGACAAATAAAGGTTTCCCACGTGGCAACTTTGAAATGAACAATTAAGTAATGAGAAAGGTGGTTCTATTCTTACACTTTTCTAAATTGTCTAGGTTTTTTGTTTGTTTGTTTTTATTTGTTTGTTTGTTCTTCCTATAGAGCACATGTGCTCACTAGAGACAGACAAAGAGAGAGAAAGTGAGAAATCACTCCTCCGGAGGGGATGGCCATGCCACAATCCTTTCTCCTCCATTCTCCTCTTGAGATTTTGGGCATTCACGCATACACACTGGATGTGAGTTTCAAGCCACCGAGTCTGGGACTCAAACTATAGTTGGCCATGTAGGATTCCAGCACCTTAACCACTACACCACCTAATGGCCCCAAAGTTTTCTAGATTTCCTAAAAGATGAACACATAACATAATTTTAAAACATTTTTATTCCATCAAGTGTGTCTTGAAGAGACAGAAATATGATTAGACTATAATTTAACAAAACATCCCCAGTTCCTCACTGTGTGTTTTTCAATCTATGACTCTTACCATGACAGCAGAGAGAGCTGACACAGACCCCAGACAGGTAATGCCAGTGGTAAAGCTTGGGTCCAACATGAATGGGATCATCCCACCTACACTAGCAGCCAGCAAGCCTGCGTTGAGTAAGTGTCTTCCAGGAAGTAGGAGAGGGGCAGACTTCAGTATACCTAGAAACCAAGCATATGGTATTCAGAATCTAGAATGTGTCATAAGAAACCTCTTCTCATATAGCCAAGTGTATACCATTTCAGCCTAAACTGCCAAAATTTATATTAGAATGGTAACACTGTATTTAAAACATATTTTATATCACCAGATATGAAACATGAAAGCAAGTTGGAGTAATTAACATAACAAACATTAATGGAGACAGAAAAAGTATGGTTCAACTTAACTGTTCTTTTCTCTACTTTGATCACATAACAATTTCCTTACTCTTTGTCATAAAATCTTAAAAAGTGATTTTTTTTTTACTGTATGACCAACACAGAAGTTGTTAAGTGTGGTTTTATTTATTTAAAACTTCAATACAGAGTCCTAGTACATTAGCATTTTTGATTCTTTCAACTGAGCCCAAGGGAAGAGAACCTTTGTTTGGTAGTTGTTTCTAAAGACAAAAGCATGAGACAAGAATGTTTCAGTCTTAAAGTTCTTTTATAACTAAGATTCATGGAAGATCCCCAATTAATTCTAATGACTTTATTATTGAGAGGCAAGACCAGATTTTAAATCACAAACGTAGTTTCTCTAGAGACTCACTTTTTTGTGAAAACACTGAAAGAACCCAGTAGAGTTTTTCTCTACTTCCATTTTCATGACCAACTTCAACAGTAGCAACAGTTGCCATACTAGAGCTCCCAAAGTGTATTTGTTTTCAAAATGAGTACTGTTTATATTCACACAAACATACTCAATAAGACTTTCTATTCTGTCAAATGCATAAAGTTCCTTTCTGTGAACTCTATCCAGACACCTCTGACCAGAGATTATAAAGATGTTATTTTGCTCATATGTATTATCAAATGTCAACTAGTCTCTGCAAATTTCTGTGCACTAATTTTTTCCATTAGCTGTCTCTAGAAGAAATAACTTCAAAGCATTATAAGAATTTAAGGATCAGTAAAAGAAAATCACTTTTATTGGGAGAAAAACACTCCTGTATATTCTTTTTTAATTTTTTTAAGTTGAAAGCTTTTCCATTTTTATTTATTTATTTAGATTTTTTGCCAACAGGGCACATGCACTCATTGGAGAGAGGGAAAGTGAGAAATCAACCTTCCCCAAGGGGGATGGCCATGCCACAATCCCCTCTCTTCCATTCTCCTCTCAGGAGCCTGTGCATGTACATACATAGCTCTCCCCCCAACACACACACACACGCCCAGCATGCCCTCCAAGCCGCCATGTCTGGAACTGGAACTGTGGGAGTTATCCATGTGAGATCCAGTGCCCAAACCACCACACCACCTGCTAGCTCCTTCTCATGTATATTTCCTAATGCTATAGAAATATTCTTCACCTACCAATATTTTTATAAAAAAAAAAAAAAAAAACATGATCCACTTGTTAAATGATCACATAGGAAAAAAAAATCTTAAAGTCAAAAAGCAAGTAAGAAATTGGGGAAACTATCTGAAACATATATGAGAAGAGATAATATTATTAGAACATAACAAACTTATATGAGTTGATTAATAAAATTACCCCCCTCCACACACACAATAACAGGCAAAAAAACATCAACAGGCAGTTCACAAACACACAGAAATGGCCAATTAACACACAAAAGAAATGTTCAACCTCACAGTTAAAGAGATGGACATAAAAGCACATGGAGAATTAGTCTATGTCTTAAACATTCTCCAAGAAATCATAAAGTATTCCAGCACTCAGGAGATTAGAAACACCCCACATGCAATCTGCATGTAAGTCCTACTGGCTCTGCTTTCAGTTATACTGAGAATCCACCAACTTCTTGCCACCCATTGCCTGCAGAGTAAAGTGAGCTGCCATTCTCTCTTGCTCAGATTATTGCCATAGTGCCCTTCTCAGCCTATGCTTCAAAAATCTATACCAATAGAGCAGATAGAAAAACCCTTTAAATATAAGATCATGCCACTCCTTTGCTAAGAATCCTCCAAAATCTTGTTAGTTCACTCAGAGCAAAATCCTCAATCTTCATAGTAGTCTGGAAGGACACAGATTCCTCCTTGAGCATCCAGCTTCGACTCTTGACAATCTTTGTTGTGTTGTGCTCCAGCTATAAGGGATCCAAGGTTGATCTCCTTAGGACTTTTTTTTTTTTCTATTTCATTTTCTTTTAGGTATTTTCTAAAATTGAAATGGACCACTAAATGCCCTAAACAATAGATATCTAGCCCTACTTTATGTTGAATCACTTACCCTGCAATTTTCCATAGGCAATAAGAGATCCACTGAAGGTGACACCACCTATGTAAGTGCCGAGGTAGGCCACGATCTTGGTGAGATTTGCTGCTGCATCCGTAGCAAAATGTGGATATTCTACAATGTACTCGGCGACGCATGTGAGTACAGCTGCCAAACCTACTAAACTGTGGAAAGCAGCAACTAATTGAGGTAAATCAGAAATCTGGATGCGCTTGGCAATCACCAATCCTGTTGGGAAATGACAGTCAAAAAGAAATTGAAATTTGAGTGACTTTTGAGAAGTAACCACAATAAAGATCAAACTTAAGAGTTTCTATCATCATAAATAATAAATTTTACTTAGTTCCTTGTATGGGCTAAATATTTTTGACAGAGGCTGTATAAAAGCCATATATATCCCCTTTCAAGACAGGGGTTTTCTCAACACACCTAACAGCCCAACTGCAATGATGCAGACTCAGAGCCTCAGTGCTTTCCTCTTCCTCTCACAAACTCTGGACACGCCCCTATTCAAACATTTCTCCGAGTTACTTAAAGCTCCAGTTAAGTCCTCTTAAGTTCTCCCCACTGAGGGAATAACTCAGGCCCTCTTATCTATAGTCAATGCTTACTTCTGCGCTCACGAGAAACAGCAAAAATCTGAAAAAGCCATAGGTTTTATAAGGAGGTGAATACAAAACTCTAGGTCATAAACACACCAATTAGAAGACTCTGAAGGACTTTCATGGCTGTGGGTAAATGATACAGAAGTAGGACTCAGAATATTTGCTAAAATCATGTCAAAGTTTTTTTTTACCATGAACCTACAGCACAAGCATTTATTTTCTTGCAAATGTCTTTCTAGGGATTGTCAAGAATAGACAATGCTTTCCTGGGGAAGTCTGAAAAAAGGCCTAAATCCAACATTACACTGGTAAAGATTAACAACCAGTTTGGGAAAAACATATATGCACACATAAATACATGAGTTTTTACTGATATAAAGATGTGTAGCACATAATTTTCAAATAACATACACAATTCTCTTTATTGTAAGTTCCATATAGCTAATTGACTTCATAGAAAGCTTTTGTTAATTTTGAAACTCATGTTTCTGTAGCCACCCTAGGATCTTCAACTGATGAATGAACATTCTTCTAACATAAATGTTGGTTGATATTTTTATTTTGGATTAATAAGTTAAATCAAAGTGAAAGAACAAAATGTAGGTGAGATTTTCACTCCTTTACCATGTGAGTGACTACCAAATCTGATAACAGTTTTCAAATATTGGGAGAATCTTTGCTCAACTTTTTGTGCTATTTCCAGTGTAATGTGAATTTTAAGTTTAAGTTACATTATTAACATTTATCCATCATTTTCTTTAGTCCGGACAATAAACAAAACAATAAATCAAGTCCAAATTTTTAGTTAATTACCATGGTGCAAATAGTACTACCAAAGCCAATTTCAACCTACCAATGTGACATCATTGAACATAAAACTGGAAACGAATGTACAGTAGCCCACCATTGCTTACTGTTTTTATTACATAAATATTGGGGTTTTGAAAAAAATCATAATACATTTTTGCGTAAAAAAAAAAAAACAGAAAAAAATACATCGTGATTTTTCTGACAACCCAATATAACAGATATAAATAACTTCAAGAGCATAGATAACAAAATTTAGTAAATTATTATAAGTAATAATTTTTTAGTATTATATAAATTAATTTCAAGTTTATAAAATTTAATTTTTTGGAATTGTTCTTTCAACAACCAGCTCCCAAAATTCCTGAAAATGTATCAGCCCCAGCAATGTTAACGAATCAAATTAAAGCTGGTTTTCCTACTGACACATTTCTTCAAGTTTTTAACAGATCTATGATGCACAATCTTCTGCTGTTATTTACACCCAGCAGAACAAAAGACAAGTTTATATTTTGCACATAAAAAAGCATTCCAATCCCTCATTCTATAATCAGCTAACTGGACACAGTCAGTAAAGGAAAAATAAGGACTGAGTAGCCTACTCTTTTGACTCAGTTGGCACACAATGTTTTCAAGTATTTGTATTTGAATGAGAATTATGCTGTGATGAATTTTAAACCAAAGCAATATTTACCAAAATATTTTCCATTAAGGCAATTTAATTCCTTTGTTCATATGAGTCTCAAATAGAAATAATATTTAAAAAGTGAAGAGCTATTAAAAGGTCTTACTCCTAATAAATATAGGTTGAGCATTCCTAATCTGAAAATGTAAAATCCAAAACACTGCAAAATCTTTAACTTTTTGAGCACAGACATGATGCCCCAAGTAAAAAAATCCACATTTCATGTGACAGATCATTATCAAAACATGTAACACAAAACTATTATATAAAATTACCTTTGGGCTATGTGCATAAGGTATATATAAATGAAAATGAGTTTCACATTAAGATTTAGGTCCCATGCCCAAGATATTTCATTATGTATCTGCAACATTCCAAAATCCAGAAAAGTCCCAAATCTGAAACACCTCTGATCCCAAGTATTTCAGATAAGAAATACTCAACCTGTACTCTGAAATCTCTGAGCCTAATGGTGTCCAGGTGTTTGAAGGGTATAGGCTCACATAAAGGCATGAGCCTACGAGTACTTACCAATGGTACCCCCCAAAGCCATTGCTCCAGACATCTGAGTTAACAGTTCCGGGCTTGGTTGTAGGCTTCCAAGGGTGGCTGCCAGGCCTCCAGAAACCCCAATCATGCCCAAAGCATTGCCAAGACGAGCTGTTCCCTGGGTAGAAAGGCCAGCCAGGGCACCAACACAGCACAAGCCCGAGCCTAGGTACATGATCTTTCCAAAGGAAAAGGGAAAAAAAGAGAGATTATTAAAACCTTCAGTCCACCAGCTTAGAGAGAATCTCTCTTCTAAAAGCATGATTCGCTAAGGACAATTTTAAATTCAGACAACAGAAGAACAAATACGAGCTGTTATTTTAATATGTCAATATATTTCCTATCCATTAAGAATATTAACATATTGGGGCGAGCGAACGGCATAATGGTTACATCAGTGGACTCCCTAGTAATTGATCACAGTTCAAGTCCTCAACCTGGTGGCTTAAAAACTCATGTCAGGCTCATGTGTGTGCATATCTAAAATCCCAAGAGGAGAATAAGGGAGAAGGGACTGTGGAATAGCCATCACCCCTGGTGGTGATTTCTCACTTTCTCTCTGTCTGTCTCTGTCTCTCCAGCAAGCACATGCGCCCTATAGCAAAAAAAAAAAGGAAAGAAAGAAAGAAAAGAAAAAGAATATTAACATATTACATACTTTAAATACCATTTGCAATTATACCTTTATGTAAACTGATTTCCTCTGGATTTGATATTATACAGAAATATATATGTACCTAAAATTAAATAGAGTCATTTTGGGACTTGAAAATAGGAGACTTGAATGAATGCCATTAAAGAGCCAATTCCTGACTCTTTTAAGTACCAAGAACCATGCCATATATTACACTATACTTTTGTGATAACTTAGTCTCCTGAGATCCACAGAACGAAAGGATCATTATGCTTATTTTACAAAAGAGAAAAATCAAAGTTTATAGAGGTGCACATTTTCTCCAAGGTCAGTCAGTTAATGACAAATCGGGAGGTAAGACTGAGTCTCTCTGACCAACTCTGCTCCAACTCTTCCTGAAAAAGATGCTGTTTATTTGACAAATACTGCATGTTAGGAACACAAAAGAGACCCAAAAAGTAGTAAGCTTTTCTGCTGTCAGAGGGGTTGCAATGTAGTGATAGCCATGGAAACAAGGGAGTTCAGAACAAAATTAAGGCCCTGTTATATTTCAACTCGGAACTTTCAAAGTTCAAGTTGGTTATTTCTGTTTTCTAAACATTAATTTTTAAACTATCTTTTGCTAAATGAATTGACACCTTGGAAATAACATATGATGTGCTAGATTTGTCAAGGAAGACACCAAGTAGGAAAAGGACTAATAGTGTTTAATAATAAAATTTTTCAAATTGCATGATTATTGTACCCTACAACAATCTAGTCAGGTACATAAATAAGATACTAATAACCTTCTCGACTTTGCTTGGGGGAAAAAACATTGGGTCTAACAGGTAAAGCCATTTGCACACTCAGCAGGA